GCAATTTCTTTTTGGAAATATTACTGTTTGCTGTTAGAAATTACTGTTTACTGTTAGAAAACAAATTTTGTGTGTATGTTTTTCCTTTTTAGGGAATGGCAATGCTCTGTGAAACGATAGAAGAATGTTGGGATCACGATGCAGAAGCCAGGTTATCAGCTGGATGTGTAGGTGAAAGAATTACTCAGATGCAAAGACTCACAAATATCATTACTACAGAGGACATTGTAACAGTGGTCACGATGGTGACAAATGTTGACTTTCCTCCCAAAGAATCTAGTCTATGATGGTTGCACCATGTGTACACACTGAGAAACAGGACTCTGAACTGGAGCTGCTAAGCTAACGAAACTGCTTACAGTTTATTTTCTGTGAGAAATGCGTAGGATGTTTCCCGGACACGTCAAGATGACCCTCATTTGAAAATGTGGCTCTGGGAGACGTACAGCATTGCCTGCAGCAGAGACGTGAAGGACGTGAGACTAAGAAAAGTTGCAGACTCTAAAGAAACTTTTGAAAAAGTGTACATGAAGAACATGGCCCTCTCCAAATCAAGGATCTTTTGGACCTGGCTAATCAAGTGTTTGAAAACTGACATTGGATTTCTTAATGTCTGTCAGAAGACACTAATTCCTTAAATGAACTACTGCTATTTTTTTTTTTTTAAATCAAAAACTTTTCATTTCAGATTTTAAAAAGGGTAACTTGTTTTTATTGCATTTGCTGTTGTGTTTCTATAAATGACTATTGTAATGCCAATATGACACAGCTTGTGAATGTTTAGTGTGCTGCTGTTCTGTGTACATAAACAAAGTCATCAAAGTGGGGTACAGTAAAGAGGCTTCCAAGCATTACTTTAACCTCCCTCAACAAGGTATACCTCAGTTCCACGGTTGCTAAATTATAAAAATTGAAAACACTAACAAAATTTGAATAATAAATTGATCCATGTTTTCTAACAAGGTATTACAAATTCACTGTGTTATTTAAGAAAAAAAGGTAAGCTATGCTTAGTGCCAACACTAAGTGGCCATTTGTAAAGCAGTGTTTTAGCTTTTCTTGTGCTAGCTTGTAATTTAAGGAAAAAAAAGTGCTGTTTTTTGAAATGAAAAAATGATGTCATTTCCCCCTCCTTCCCATGTTTTAAAGCTTCATCTTCTATCCAGTTCCCAAATTATTGCATACTTACCTAAGTATTTTTTTTTTTTTAAGGTGTGCTGTGTTTGGGGAATATTTGAAAATTTAAAGCATGATTTAAATTTTTTAAAGTGAGCTGTGACACTGGAAAGCTCTTCATTTTTATTCTTTTAAAATAGATTTTTTTCCTATTTATATATGTAAAATTGTAGTGTATTTCTTTTCACCAAACAGTGTGTGGGACATTCTTTATCACTGTTTAAGGATCACCTCAGGAAGTGTCATTACCCAGAATTCCTCACTCTCTGCTTTGAGACTTGTAACTTTATCACTATATTTCTGCTTGGTGCCATCTTGTCAGAGTAATATTTGATGTCTGTGATACATGAAGAATTATCCTAGGATAGAGGTTTTAAATTTTAAGCACAGATTTCAGATGTTACTGCTTTAAAAAAAAAAAAATAATCAGGGATAACAAGTTAAACTTACAAACTTAAAATATGCAATGACATTTAGAGGTAACCGATGTTGATATAGGTAATATAACCTAGCCTCTTCCCATAAATTGCTTTCACAACTATGATACTTAGAATAGTTTCCTTGATAAGAAAATGGAACTGATGGTAGGTAGGTGCCAAAGTGCTTTTAAAAACACTATTACATCAGAATATAATTGGATTCTTCCTCAAATTTATACAGGCCAAAGTAAAACATTAATTTCCTGAATTTCTAGATTACTGACCAACAAATAGCCAGTATTATGCTATGTACTTTTGTCAGGTCATTTAAAAATCCATACATTAATTTTATACAAGAATTTTTTACATGTCACTATCAGGAGCTCACTGTGAATGTATTATCTTCAAATGGCTATTTAACCACACAGTACACTACGTTTTACATATAATGTGCACTTAATCTCTGGGAATAATAAATTATATTATTTATAGATAATGCATAGGTCAACAGACTCTAAGCAGGGAGGGAAAGAAGAGTAATAGCATTGTTGTCTGTGTGCCACACACCATACAGAATTTTGTGCTCTTGGGTCACATATATACCCAAGTTTTCATTGTATTCCTAAGAATTCCCATTTCAATGTTGAGTTTCACCTCTTTATTTCAAAAAGTACTTGACACCTCAATTTCTTGATTTCGTTTTACTTCCACTTTGAAACTTACCAAGATGGGAAAATGACAATGTTCATAACATGGAAACTGTCAATCTCCTGAAGACCAATTTCTACCTGTTCTAAACATTTAATTCTATTTTTAAGAGTAAAAAAAATAAAACAAAAACAAGGAATATTATGATGAATGTTTGGCTTATGTGAGCACTTGAGATAAATTTTATAAGATCAGTTATTTTCTCTTCATGTTAGAAAACATTTTTAGAAATCCTGGGTATTATACTTAACTCTAGCTAACCAACTTTAAAACTTGTATCCTTTTGAAAACTATATTAATAGAAAAACACTTTTTATAAGCAGTAAAATAAGAATGTTCCAGTGACTACCTGTCCTGATACCTAGTCTTGTTAAAACTTTCTTTTGCAGGGCATTTTCACGTTAGGTTTACAGTCAGCGCAGAGTGGGCAAGCTTACAAAAGGTTTGAGCTAGGGATACTGAAAAATAGATCCAAGAATGAGAAAAACGATGACTTCTTTGTTTTGGGGTGAACTGAGACCCCAATATTTTTTTCCTCATGTGTATGGTGCTCTTTATGATTTGTCTTGTATTTTGCCTTTCTGATACCCATCAGAACTGCTGCTCTTCCACTCTTTAACCTTGCCCAAATCTCCGCGTAAGGAATGCTTTATGATCAACTGCCATAGGACTGATGGATTAACCAGTGTTTGGCTTTATTCGAAGTCTATGCCCTGCACAGCTCTTGTATGTATTTTAGATGCTAGGAAGTTTTTAGCATGTGAAGTGTGACTCTCGTTTGAATGTTTATTACAGGTACCTTGTGAATTCCAGAACAGAGACTGTGCCTCACAATTGTTGGTCCCATGAACTTGCACTATCTTTCATGGTGATGTTTTAAAAATACAATCAGGAAAACAAAACAAAAGGAGTTTGGAATTTAAAGTAGAATCATCTGTCATCAAATTTAAAAAGAACCTCTTCTTCCTCCTTTCCTCAACCCTAAGTAACAGCTACATTTAAGTAAAATGCAGGTGGGTAGGGGAAAAAACCCTGGCCAGATGATAGTTTAAGTGGAATTAAACTGATTACTATTTTAGAAAAAATGCTTCTCCACAAATATTTTCCAGTTTCTCTTTTTTACCTTTTTAAAAAATTACTTTTTAGAAACATTTGGTATAATGTGCATAAAATTATTTACTGATTTATGGGCAAAATGATACAAGTAGCATCTTGATTGAACATCATTTACCTCAGATATTCAACCAGCAGTACATTTTTTATGCAGTCTCAATCCATATCCTATTTGTTACCTCTCAAAATATTGGTAAGCAATTATTTTAGCTTTACTCTGTATTTCTTGTCAGTGTTTTGGGCACAGGTTGTTGTACTACTGTCAAATTGTACTTGCTATTTTTTTCTGCAAGTATTTAACAAAAAGCTAAAAAAAAAAAAAAGCCCCATAAAACCCCACCTTGGATAAGTGATTGTTAAATATTGTACAAATAAAATGTATGCTATCCCCATTCCATCCCCGAGTTAAATAAAAAAAAAAAAAATGAATATCGTATTATTTGCTTATGCAGTTTTCCTTTTGCTCTATACATTCTTTTTGTTTTGTTTTTAAGAGAGACAAGAGTGCTCGCGGGGGAGGGGCAGAGAGAGAAGGAGACACAGAATCTGAAGCAGCTCCAGATTCTGAGCTATATCAGCAGAGCCCAACGGGGGGGGGGGGGGGGGGGGGG